ATTCCTAGATTTGTCACTTTGATGACTGTGTTTCTGCCACCTTCTTTTCTCCTCCCTGGGGCTCCTAGAGCCCTTGCTGGGCCTTGTCTTTCTGGGCACTCATCGCTTGACCCCGACTTCATATTTTTTATCTCTGTGCTGACTTCCTTAGCTCTGTCTTCCACTTACCTAACTTTCTCTTCACATAACTCTAATATCTGATTTAATCTGTCCACCTGCTTTTCATTTCTGTGACTGTTTTTCCTAGAAGTATTTCATTATTTTTCCATACCTGTATGTTCTTTTTTGCTTTTCATAGCACGTGCTTTTTCTATTTGGATTTTCTCAATGTTCTCCCATCTTTCGTTACTGTAAATATACGTGTGCCTTTTTAGATGGTGCTTCTGCTGTGTGAATTCTCGACGTTGGCTCTTGCTTGCCGTGTGACGGCTGACTCTTCTCTTGTGTGTTAACATTTTCAAGCATACAATGCGCTGTTTATGGCTCCCTGTTCATCTGTGGCATCATGTCCACTTTGCACTTGTCCTTTGTTACCCCGGGGGGCGGTATTGTCAGCATGGCACTGATTGTTACGTGAATTTCTTAGCTGGAGAGTCCTAAAGCAACATGACCTGGGCCCTCTGATACATTCAGGACACTGGTCTTGCTTGGTGCTTCCAGGGTTCTGCTCTTTACTTAACCCAGCACCCAGGTCCTGCGGCCTGTGCTGGTCAGCAGGTGCTCTGCTGTGCGCACATCCTCTCACCTTGATGTAGCCAACAGGCGTCAAGGCTGTTGGCTTCTCCAGTGTCCCCTCTCTCCACGTCCCCCGGGCAGCCACCGGGCCGACTGTCCTGCTTAGCTCTGACTTCCGGTTCCTTGTGTTTCTGACACCTGAGCATTTAGTTTAGTTGGCTTTCGTTCAGGCTTAGCTATGTATGTTAAGAAAACAGAGATTGGCCGGCGCCGCGGCTCACTAGGCTAATCCTCCACCTGCGGCGCTGACAACCCGATTCTAGTCCCGGTCGGGACGCCGGATTCTGTCCCGGTTGCCCCTCTTCCAGGCCAGCTCTCTGTTGTGGCCTGGGAGTGCAGTGGAGGATGGCCCAAGTGCTTGGGCCCTGCACCCCATGGGAGACCAGGATAAGTACCTAGCTTCTGCTTTCGGATAGGTGAGCGCCAGCTGCAGCGGCCATTGGGGGGTGAACCAGCGGAAAAGGAAGACCTTTCTCCCTGTCTCTCTCTCTCACTGTCCACTCTGCCTGTCAAAAAACAAAACAAAACAAAACAAAACAAAAACACCACACAGAGATTGCATTGGTCCGGCATTTCTAGGTGTTTGTAATGGGAGATTTTTCTCATTTTCTAAGCTTACCTTCTTGCTGGATCTGGAAACTACTGCAAATTAATTTTTTTAAAAGATCTATTTATTTTATTTGAAAAGCAGAGAGAGAGAGAGAGAGAGAGAGAGAGAGAGAGATGGAGAGAGAGAGGGAGAGAGAGAGAGGGAGAGAGAGATAGGTCTTCCATCTGCTGGGTCACTCCCCAAATGGCCACAGAGGCTGGAGCTGCACTGATCCGAAGCCAGGATCCAGGAATTTCTTCCAGGTCTCCCATGCTGGTGTGGGGGCTGAAGGACTTGGGTCATCTTCTGCTGCTTTCCCAGGGGTGTTAGCAGGGAGTTTTGGATAGGAAGTGGAGCAGCTGGGACTTGAACCGGTGCCCATATGGGATGCCGGTGCTGCAGGCGGTGGCTTAACCCACTACACCACAGCTCCAGCCCCTGCGTGATTTCTTGACTTCTCATTTAGGGGCTTGGCACCAAGGCTGAGCTCCACAGGGATGCATCTTGCAAAGGGAAGCATGGCCCTGTCCCCAGCTCAGTGCTGCCCCCTGTGGCAGAGTCTTGGGAGGAAAGCTGTCTCTCAGAAAGAATGCTCCCGGCAGTTTAAAATTTTATGAGAGGCAAAAGAGGAAGGTGGAAATCCCCCATCACGGATTCGAGTTTCCTAGATTGACAGCTTCCTCGTATAGTCCTAGTTTTACTAAATTCATAGTTTCACTAGACCATCGTAAACAACCATCATTCTGGAAAAAAAATTAGGTAAAATTCAAAACAACAGGCCGGCCGGCACCCAGCCAGAGTTACAGAAACACTGCAAATGAATTCTCTTGCGTGTGCTCTTTGTGGGGGCCGAGGGAGAACACTGCGATCGCATTACCTCTGTACTCTGTTGGTTTCTGCGAGATCGATGCATTACGGCGTGTGGAAAGCTCTCATACGAGCTGAGGTTGGCTAATCTGGTGCAGGGTTGATGCCATCATCCTCATCAGGTTTCAGCAAAGATCAAACCTTTAGAGGAGCCCGTGAAATGAGATTCGGAGAGAGCTTGCTTTTTGTCCAAAGACTCCCAGCAGCAGTTCTGCAAGTTGCATCCCTCAATCATCTCTTGTTCTCCTGGTCTGTTTTGATTAACATTTGGTGTCAGCAGTTGGAGTGGTTCAAAATGCATAAGGTTGTAGAAGGGGTCGCCTCCATCTCGGCCTTGGATCCTGGACAGCAGCCACACTGATCGCGCCGGGAGTGTGGCTGGACGAGGGAAAAGAAATCAGGCGTCGGGTCCCTGCCTTTCCCCAAGCCGCAGACTGCTGGGCGCTGGAAACATCGGAGAACCTGGGCTGCGCATGTGCAGAGGGTCTGGAGAGGGAGGGGAACGTGACCCCGGCCGGGGCATCCTAGAGCCTGGAGGGCGCCTGGGAAGCCCAGAACTGCTCCCTCCAGCAGTTGCTCTGCCAGGGCTCCCAGCTCCTACTGCTCAAAGAATCCAGCCTAAACTCCCAGCCCCAGCTAAACCCCACCAGCTTGCCCTGCCCATCTCCCAGCCTATCCTCACCAGAGACTCCGCCCTCATCCCCTGCACCTCTGAACCTCCTGCTCTGGGCCTGGAATACACACATTGTCCCTGTCCCACATCATCAAACACCCCCGCTCCTGAGCCTCTGGGAGGGCAGCACCGTGACCTTGCCCAGCTCTGCCTGCCTAGCATGAGCCGGTACTCAGCGCTGATTGCCTTCAAGGAGACGTGAGGCAGGTGCACAGGGTGAGGGCCAGGGAGGGATGGGCTAGGAGTCCTGGAAGATGAGGGGGCCTAGAGGGCACCCTGTTTATTCAATCTCTGGCCTCAGAACTTGCTAATGGAATCGGTTTCTGGACTTTCTTCCTAGTGAACAGGCAGTACGACAGCTGATTTTCCTGCCGGAGTGGTGTGGAGGGAGGGAGGGAGACCCTGATCTCTGGTCTAAAGACGGTGGCAAATGAAGTCTTTCAAGACGTTGTAATGTGAAGAGAGAGAAGCAGAGATCCTGCTCTTTGTGACGTGCCTTGTCCTTTGTCTGATGGGAGGGAGCGAATCACATAAATGTAGACAATGACTAGGCATCAATTAAAAAAAATTTCACGGCCTGCAGGGGGCGCTGTGAGGCATAAACCCACTGGTTCTGGCGGATTTCTTCTGCCATTTGTTGAATGGCTGTCATTTGGGCATCTGGTTATTAAGTGCTTACCTGTGCTTGCTGGTCACATGCGTGGTTACAGAGGAGGAGGCTGAGGCTGGGGGTTGTGTGCGGGCGGGGCTGGGGTCTGAGCCCAGGTCTGTGCGCTTCCGTCACTAATGTTCTCCAGTCACCACGCTCCAATGCCCCAGCTGCCGTCCCGTCTAGAAGCGGCTTCTCAGTCAGTCAGAGGGCTGTGCTGAGATCCTGGTGGCCTGCTGTCCTGGACCACGCCCAGGAATTCGGATTGACAACTCTGAGTGTGGTACCCAAGGCCGCGGCTGGGTGCCAGGAGGGACAGTGAGTGTCACGTGGGGGCAGGGAGCAGTGGCTGGGCGGGCTCCACGGGTGAGGTGGTTAGAGACACTGAGGAACCCATGCCACACGCGTGCCTTGTCCCGCGGCTCCCTTCGTGACACGCTTTCGGCCTCTGTGCTGATATCTACACCCATCTGTTTCCTTGAAACCTAAGCGTGACGGGTGGTTCTCCACCTGGAATAAGCCAGTGCATCCTGACCCACAAGGCTCTTGTTGGCGGGCTCAGAGGCTGGGGCGGGGGAGCCGGGGGCTCTGCATCCCAGCACTCATGGGAGAGACCAAGCAAATGCTGGGAGAAGCCCAATGGCAGCGGCTGCCCCAGGATGGGGGCGGGGAGCCCTTGGCCTCCAGGTGCTGCAGCTGAACCCAAGGAAAACGCAATGTTACTGTGGGAGATGGCTGGACCCGTGGGGACCCGGCCAACCTTAAAATCAATGAAGCAGTGCTCAATATCTTCTTTCTTTAAAAAAAGATTTTATTTATTTTTTGAAATGTAGAATTGGAGTGAGGAGAAGAGGGACAGAGAGAGAGAGAGAGAGAGAGAGAGAGAGAGAGAGAGAATCTTTCATCTACTGGTTTACGGATTCACTCCCCAAATGGCCACAGCAGCTGAGGCTGGGCCAGGCTGAAGCCAGGATCCAGGAGCTTCCTCCAGGTCTCCCTCGTGGGTGCAGGGGCCCAAGCACCTGGCCCATCTTCTGCCGCTTTCCCAGGCGCGTTAGCACGGAGCTGGATCGGAAGTGGAGCAGCCAGAACTCAAACCAGTGCACATAGAGGACACCAGCATGCAGCAGGTGGCTTAACCTGCTACGTCACAGCACTGGCCCCAAAATTTGTTTCCTAAGCAGTGTGTGGCTGGACAGGGGACACTGTCTGTATCCGCATCAATCGCACAAGCAATTTCCGGATTTAGCATTGAGGGACCTTGCCTTCTCTTCGGGGGATTTTATCAAACATTTGGCTTGATATTTACATGTTCCCACGCCACATCAGTTGGCGTAGATGGTTTTTGTCCATTTCAAAATAAGGTTCGCTCATGTCTGGTGATCACAAATTAATATGTGCTCTTGTAGGAATTCTAGAGAAGATGGAGAATTAAAAGAAAAAATAAAAATCACCTGCCAAACAAAAGAAGCAGGAAGAGGCAGAAGGGAGTTTCTGGTAGCTGTGGGTCTCCCTAGATCTTTACAGGGGAGCTGGTTACAACACAGGCAGTGGCATTCGTTAGAACCCAAGCCTGTGCACACTTAGCATGTCTGCTCCTGCTGGGTGTGCACTTTACATAAAAGAACAATCTAGGGCAGTGATTGAACTTGGACTGAGGCTATGCATGATGAAGTGGTCAGAGGGACATGGTCAGATGTCAGCCGGTTACTTTAAAGGAGAAAGAAGAAAGCAAGAGAGAGAGAGAGAGAGAGAGAGAGAGGTCTTCCATCCGCTGGTTCACTCCCCAGATGGCTGCAACGGCCAAAGCTGTGACGATCTGAAGCCAGGAGCCAGGAGCTTCTTCTTGGTCTCCTACCCGGGTGCAGGGGCCCAAGGACTTGGGCCATCTTCCACTGCCTTCCCAGGCCACAGCAGAGAGCTGGATGGGAAGTGGAGCAGCTGGGACTCGAACTGGTGCCCATACGGGATGGCAGCACTGCAGGCCACCACTAGGCCACAGCACAGGCCCCCTGATAGGTTGTTAGTCATGCAAATGTCTTCTTTATGTGTGTTCCTGTGATGTTTACAATCCTCTTCTCCACCTCCCTCTCTCGTGCTGTCCCCCCTGTAGACCCTGCCCGGAAGTTCCCGCGTAGGCAGAGCGCCCTCCACACGTTCTCAATCATGGAGGCCAATCAGGAGACTTCTCTCTTCCTGATGAAGATCTTGGAGGAGCTGGACAGCAAGCAGAACACGGTTTCCTATCAGGACCTGTGCAAGTCCCTGTGCGCCCGGTTCGACCTGACGCAGCTGGCCAAGCTGAGAAGCGTGCTGTTCTACACGGCTTGCCTCGACCCCAATTTCCCAGCCACGCTCTTCAAGGACAAGATGAAATGCAATGTGAACAACCAGCAGTCGAAGAAGATCATGGTGGCGGCAGACATCGTGACGATATTCAACCTGATCCAGATGAACGGCGGCGCGGCCAAGGAGAAGCTGCCCGGCGGCCGCCAGAAAATACGCAGAAAGGAGGCTTCGTTTGAGTCGTGCCGGTCAGACGTGGAGATGTGTGCAGCGGCCGAGTGTGAGTCGCTCAACTGCGAGCTGAGTGACAGGCCTTTCAGCCGGGGCTACCCCTCCAGGCAGTCCTCCAAGGGCCGCAAGATGGAGTGCAAGGACTGCCCGCAGTTCGTCCCCGCCTCCGAGCCGAACTTCCTGCTGGGCGTGGGCAAAGAGAGGAAGCACCGGGCGGCCTCGCTGGACAGGCTGCAGGCCCTGGCCCCCTACTCCGTGGCCAGCCCACGGCCCTGTGAGATGCAGAGGACCTACTTCCCCATGGACATCGAGAACGAGTCCATCTCCGACCAGGACTCGCTGTCCATCGGCCAAGGCATCAAGGACGCCTTCGTCTCCAGCGAGGAGCCCTTCGTGGTCCCATCCTGTGTCCAGAAGAGGAACATCTTCAAAGAGGACTTTCACAACCTCATGCCCGTCTCCCCCAGTCTGGTGGGCCCTGCCAGCAAAGCGGAGGGGGAGTGTGGGGAACCCCCGGGGCGGAAGGAGCCCCACAAGCCGCCCTTCTTTAACCACAGCTTCGAGATGCCCTACAACAGCCAGTACCTGAATCCCGGCTATTCCCCGGTGCCTGACAAACGGCGGGTCAAGCACGAGAGCCTGGACGACCTTCAAGCCTCCACGTACTTCGGACCCACGCCGGTGCTGGGGACCCAGGAGGCCAGGCGCTGCCCCGGGCGGCCCAGCAAGCAGACCCCGTGGCCAGCCAAAAGCTGGAGCCTGAACACGGAGGAAGTCCCTGATTTCGAGCGGTCCTTTTTCACCAGGAATCCGTCCGGGGAGAAGCTGTGCTATCAGAATTCAAGCAGCCCGGCGCCCGGTTTCCCAGCCCCAGACAGACGCCCGGCTTACCTGGCGCCCAAGGAGCAGCCACCCATTCTCCCGGTGAGCTACGCGGCCAAGCCCAACGGGCTCAAAGCTAAAGAGATCCCATCCCCCGTCGACCTGGAGAAGCACGAGCCGGTCAAAAAGTTCAAAGACAAGAGCATCAGCTGCACCAGCGGGCAGCTCAGCTCCGACACCAGCAGCGTGGGCACCCAGACGGAGCAGCACGTGCTGGAGCCCAAGAAAGCCAAAGACTTGTGCGCCTCCGGGCAGGGCAAGTACGGAGACAGGCACGCCAGGAAGCACTCGGACGACGACTCGGAGATCGTCAGCGATGACATCAGCGACATCTTCCGATTCCTGGACGACATGAGCATCAGCGGCTCCACGGGGGTGATGCACTCGTCCTGTTACAACAGCACCGGGTCCCTGTCCCAGCTGCACAAGTCCGACGGCGACAGCTCCCCGGAGCGCCACCGCCCCAAGGTGGCCAACGGGGTCCCCGGCGGCGGCAAGGGGGACAAGGCTCTCCACCACTCGGAGGAGGAGCTGAAGACCAGCGTGTGCAAACTGGTGCTGCGGATCGGCGAGATCGAGCGCAAGCTGGAGTCCCTGTCCGGAGTCCGCGAGGAGATCTCCCAGGTCTTGGGCAAACTCAACAAACTGGACCAGAAAATGCAGCAGCCGGAGAAGGTGAGCGTGCAGGTGGATCTGAACTCCCTGACGAGCGAGGCTCCGTCCGACGACACTGCCTCTCCCCGCGGGTTCCGGGCGCACGGCGGCTCCCACGGACCCACCCTGGAGAACAGCGCCGACTGGTGCTGCTCCGACGCCAGCGGGAGCAACAGCGAGAGCCTGCGTGTGCAGGCCTTGAAGAAAAGCCTCTTCACCAGGCCGTCCTCCAGGTCCTTGACCGAGGAGAACAGCGCCACCGAGTCCAAAATCGCCAGCATCTCCAATTCGCCCAGAGACTGGCGCACCATCACCTACGCCAACCGCGCGGGCCTGGGCGGCGAGGAGAGGAAAGACGCGGGCCCGGCAGACAACAAGGACTGGCATCGCAAATCCAAAGAGGTAAATAGAAATTTCACTTGGCCTCGATGGGCACCGGCTGGATCCCAGCGCTTGGCGCGAGGCGGAGCCACGCATGCTCTGTTAAGCAACGGGCGGGGGGGGGGGGTGCTTCTGGGCGGGCAGGCTCTGTTAGAACCAAGGCGATGGCAGGTGCAGTGTGTGTGTCTTGCCAAGTTGTTCAGCTGGGAGGACCGCAGGCTTCGGTGCTGCCGATGCCAGAAGGCCCCGGGGGTGTGAGGACAGACTCTCAAGGGTTGGGGGCTGGGCGGGAGCGGGCAGGTGCACCGGGGATGTCTTCCTGTCCCTTCAGAAGCAGCAGGGCCCAGCCCATGTAATGACGGCGGTGACTGCCGAAGCGTGCAGAGTGACCTGTCCCCTTCAGGGACTGCATTGCCTATGCCACGGCATCGCCCACCCTGCCTTTAAAGAATGTGTTGTGCCCCAATTTCTTTTCTTTTCTTTTCTTTTCTTTTCTTTTCTTTTCTTTTCTTTTCTTTTCTTTCTTTCTTTCTTTCTTTCTTTCTTTCTTTCTTTCTTTCTTTCTTTCATCATTTATTGGAAAGGTAGAGGTCAATCAGGTAGACAGACAGACAGAAAGAGATCTTCTCCCATCTGCTGATTCACTCCCCAGTAGCTGGGGCTGAGCCACCTGCTCTGTGCTGGGCTCCGTCCCACCTTCGGCTCAAGGCTTCCTCTCGCCTCCTGGGCCTTTGGCAGCTTTCCCAGGAACCGGTGCTTTCCCAGCCTCGAATTCTCTGTGCTCAGACATAGTGCACATAAAACCATTACTTAAGGACGTATTGTATCACTCACGGGGGTGACCCGGCTACAGTGCCAGGCTCCTGGCTGCAGCCTGGCCCATTCTGGACTGGCCTGTCACAGCCATTTAGGGCATGAACCAGTGGATGGAAGCTGAGTCTCTCTGTCTCTCTGCCTTCCAAGTAAATTTTTAAAAATCTAAAAATGTAGATATCTCATGTATGGAGAGTGAATGCTGAGCTGGAAGGGAGACGCCTCAGTGGCAGGAAGAGGTGTGAGCAGCATTTCAGCTTCTGGTCTTGGGACAAGCACAGGTTCAAATCCCAGTTCTACCACTTCATAGCTGCGTGACACTGGGTCAGTCTCTCTGACCCAGGTGTCCATATCTGTACTGGGGACAGCAACAGCTGAGACCCAGTGTGAGTGGGGAGGTGCAGTGAGGTGGCACGGACCCTGCACCGGCTTGGGCGGGGTGGTGGACACACAGTCAGCCGTCGGTGACCCAGGCTGCTCCTACAGCGGCTGGCGTGGGTTCTTATCCCGCCGCTGTCTGTGCAGCCCTGCATGCACTCTGGGTGCTGGGTGGAACCAGCGAGCAGAGAGATTCCAGGCAGGGAAGCCTCTTCGAAGGCCCTTTAGCTTTGATGAGTGAGAAAAAAACGAGAAGGCAGCCCCATTTCCTTGTTTGGGTTTTGCCGGGTTCCTCCTGCGTTCTGTGTCACCGGCCTTGGTGGCCGGGGGTGGGAATACACAGGAGGATGTTTCTGGACAAGAGCCAGGGGCCAGCATTGCCAACAGGCGGGCTCCTCCCCAGCCGGCACAGCCACTTCCTCTGGCGTGCGGCCTGGACTCCTTTTCCCACCGCTCTGTTGTGTTGTCCTGGTACTCACACCCACAAGGCTGCCTGTCTTACTTCCTGGACCCCTGTCCCCTGGACACCTCCCTGCTGCTGGGCAGGAGAAAGAGGCCGGCAGGAGCCTTCCAGGAGCTCACTGTCTAGTGGGGGAGACAGCCGGGGCAGGCAGGCAGGGTGGGGAGACCGGGCTGTGCCCCAGCAGGTGCAGCAATGGCCCCACACGCAGCTACAGGCCCAGGGTCTGTCCATGATTCTAAGAGATCCCAGAGGTGGACACCATGCCCCCATCTTGCTGGGCCAGGGAGTGCTTCCTGGAGGAGGTGGCACTCCTGTGTGGAGATCGGATGACCTGAAGTTAGAAAGTTCCAGAAGGCTTCCTCCTTCCTGGCAAGCCAACAGCATGCCGGGGTCCGTCTGGCCCAGGTCACGACAGAGGGGTGTGAAACAGCAGCAGTTAAGCTAACGCTCTTTGAAGCTGGAGGATCAGGGGGACACCCCAGCCCCACCCCAGAGCCCCTGTGCGTCCTGGGGCAAGTGACTGAGGGTGGGGTTTATGACGGGCATGGCGGGGTACGGATTAAACAAGCCCTTCACTGCTCACGCTAGGACTGGAATCAGCAGGAGCTGAGAGGCTTCCTGTGTGTGTGCGATCGGCTGCATGTTGCCGCCTGGCTGTGTGCAGGGCCCGGCGTCACTGGGGAAACCCCCGCCCCCCCATCCGTGCCGCTTCTCTGTGTCCCTCCCCCTCTGCAGGCTGACAGACAGTATGACCTTCCCCGACAGCCCCGACCGCCCAAGCAGCCCAAAGACGGCTTCCTGGTGGAGCAGGTGTTCAGCCCCCACCCCTACCCCGCCTCCCTCAAGGCCCACATGAAGAGCAACCCCCTGTACACGGACATGCGGCTGACCGAGCTGGCCGAGGTGAAGCGGGGCCAGCCGTCGTGGACCGTGGAGGAGTACGCACGGAATGCGGGCGACAAGGGCAAGCTCGCGGCCCTGGACCTGCAGGTGAGCCTCTCGCAGCACTGGGGCGGGCGGGCGGGGGCAGCCGGGCTGTGCCCTGGCAGGTGCAGGCAAGGGGCCACGGATGGCTTAGACCAGCCCAAGCCCTCCCCTTCCAACTCCCCGGGGCCCCCACTACTCCTGCCCCGCCCCCACCCCCCACCACGGAACTTGACCTTGAGTGAGTCGGAGCTGGAGTCCACGCGGGGACTCTTGGGCTTGCTTTGTTCTTGTATCTCTGGGCTGGTTGACTTGCTAACAATGCGTTCAAGACTCTGTCTACAAGCGCAGATTCTAGTGTTTGCCCACGAGACCCGAGCCAAACTGTTTCATGCCATCCGAGCTGATTTCTCCTTCCATGTGTAGCGCGTGGGATAAGCATATTTGTGGGAGCTATGGACTGTGTTTCCATTCGGAGCAGCCCCAGGTAAGAGCCACAGCCGGAAACTCTGTCCAGGCTGTTGTGTCTTGTTCACCCAGAGGCAGGGCTGGGTTGGGGCCACACTTTCATCGTGGTGGGCGGCTCTACGTGGTCCCATTCGCATCACGTCTCTTTGTGTCTCCACCTCACCCTGGGAACAAAGGCAGAACCTGTTCCCCAGAAGTGGGCTCGGCCTTGTGGGCAGTGAGGTCCCGCCCTGGGGAGTGCTGGTCACCTGCTGATCTCAGCGTTGACCCTGAGCATGAGGTGCAGTGGCGGAGAGCTGCCTGCAGGGGTCACTGTGGCAGGACTTCCCTGAAAATGACCTAGCTCTAAAAACCCAGGGGACTGTGGGAGGCGGGGGCGTGGCCGGGTGAAAAGACTTAGAGTTTCCAAAGCGCTGAGTTCAACTTGATCGACTGTGCACGGTGCACAGCACCCTCTCAGGTCCAGGCGTGGGGGCGGACTGCGCAGCAGGAAATTGTATGACCGGTTGACAATCGGGGGACTGCAGACCCCAGGAAGCACTCGAACCTGAATCCACACTGAGCCGCTGGACGAGCTGTCCCACGCCCTTCCCCTCCCGTTCCCTCTCCACCCCCCCACCCCCACCCCCCAGTCTCCCGTGAGGAGCTTCCTGGCAAAGAAAAAAAAGAGGAGTTGCAATGGCATTTGTTTCCCGTGGGTCCAGTTATGGGAAGGGGCAACTCGGGCCACATCCGGAGCGGGCGGTTTGTCCTCGTCCCTCCCATGTCATGCGTGTTCTGTGCCATGTGTGTTGCGAGTCCCTTGTCCCTTGGGGCTGCTCCCCCCTCTGTCATCTTGCCGCGGGCAAGCAGGCTAGACGAGGGTTTGGTTCCCCCGCAGGTGGGCTCCTGGGCTGGCGAGTTAGAAAGGCCAGCAGGGGTGGGCGGCTCCACTCGTTGCTATAACCAGCTTTTTGCCAGTGACGCGCGATGACCTTGAAAGAGCGAGCTGAATTGAAGGACTCATTGGCTGTTAGGGGAAGATGCAGGGGGAGATTCTGGCCTCCCAGACAGGTGCGATCCTCGTGTGCCAATGTCTATAGGCATAAAGACACAATTACAAAAAAAAAAAAAAAAAAAAGTAAAAATAGGCGCTCAGGTTGCAGAGGTGAGGTTAATTACAGATGCAAAGCAGAGTGTCCGGTTGCACAAGCTACAGGGAATGAGGGCGCAGAAGCCCCGCCCGGGGAAGATGCCTGCAGCGAAGCAGGGGGAGCCGTGCACAGAAGGCGAAGGTGGAGGGGTTGTCTTGGGGCAGCTTTAGCGTCTCCTCGGGCTCCCCCGTCATCAGCGTGGAGTGTGCCCGCTATGGTGCCCGCCTGAGGGCGTGGGCATAGGTGCCGGTGTGGCAGGCGCCGTTGACGGCTGAGTACGCTCGCCGGGGTCCCTGGAAACCTCGCAATTACCTCCCTGCTACTCAGTGCCACTGGAGCTTGCAGTTACCGAAAAAACTAATTAAAAAATAGTTTATTTCACAGGCGGAGGCCTAGCCCCTCATACAGTGTAGCGAGCGAGGGAAGCAGGCCAGTTTCCCTCTGCAGAGCCGGAGTGCAGCAGGAACGGGATCCGATGTGTCGTTTGCCCTGTGTGTCTGCTGGGCCAGCTGGTGGCAGAGCAGGGAGGAGAGTGGATTATCTCAGCTGCACCCCCGGCCTGAGCCTGGCCCCTCACCCATGGCTGCAGGCCGACACCCCGCGGGTCTCCTTTGAGGAGTGTCCACTCGATTGCTGGTTCACTCAGACTGGTTCCTTAGTGCCCTGCAGAGGGTGGAGCTCTGTGGGGGCGGGGGCTGTGGTCCAAGCATGAAGACGTGTACTTTAGTGGCCGGAACTGCCCAGGGCAACTCAGGACAGGTCCCCCACCCAACACCCCACCGCCAGGACTCCAGCCCCGGTTCCTGTAGCAGGGAGATTTTTGCAAAGCCTGCGTGGCTGAACAGAACACCCTGTAGCAGGGGACTTCACAATGTTCGTGAGAACATGGAATCCTTTGCCACAATTTTTTTTTTGAGACCCCCACTTGGCTTCTTCCTAATATGCGTCTCTGTGGACTCTGTAAAGAGCCTGGTTTGTATCATGGGCGCCCTGGTGGCTGGTGCCACCTGCCAGCCCTCCAGGGAACCTGCGGAAGTCAACAAGCAGTCTGCAGCATTTTGTGTGCGTGAGGAAGGGGTCCTGGCGGAGTTCCTGGGACCCCAGGAAACCCCTGTTTCCATTCTACAACGCCGCCCTGTGATGCGCACTGGCGCCAGCAAACGTTTCCTGTGAAGGGTCGGGGAGTCAGTGCTTGGGCTCTGTGGGTCTTCTGGCTGCTGCTTCGGCAGCTGCAGGCGGCTCATCCCCCAACGGGCACGGCTGCGTGCCCGTAAAACCTTGATTTTTTGGAAACTTGAGGTTTGCATTTTCTATCACTTTCACACTTTATGAAATATTATTGTTGTAGTGATCTTCTCCCGCTATTCAACGATGTAATAACCATTCTTCCTTCAAAGACTGTACCAAGATGGGTTGACAGGTTGGAGCTGGCCTGCCAGGCCACAGTCTGCCAAGCCTTGTTCTAGAAGATTCTTAGCGACAGGATGGGAACAAAACCCAAGGAGGGGCAGGTTTTGGCCCAGTGGTGAAGACACTGGAGACGATGCCTATGTCCCGGCTTTGGCTCCTGACTGTAATTTCCTGCAAATGCAGAGGTGATGATGATGGCTCCAGGAGACGGCTTCCCACTGCCCGAATAGGAGGCCTGGATTGAGTTCCTGCCTCCGGGGGGCTTCAGCTCCCGCCCAGCCCAGCTTTGGTCATTTTGGGCATTTGGGGAGGGAACCCGTGGATCGGGGAACACTCAATCTCTCTCTCTCTGCCTCTCAAATAAAAATAAATGAATAATTAGAGCCCTAGGAGCACGTGGGTTAGCAGGAGGCCGGCAGGAAGCAGATGGATGCAGGGAGCAGAGGGCTCGGGAGGCTGCTGTCTGCAGTGGTGTGAGCTGGGGTGGGGGCCCCCAGCAGGGAGAAGGCACTGTGCACTGTTGCATCTGGAAGGCGGCTGTGTGAGTGGTGAGACCACAGTGCCGGAAGCCTGGGCATTATTCGACGTCAGCCCCGAGACAGAGCCGTGCCTATGCCGTGGGAGTGGGTTACAGCCATTGGTCTTCCTGCAGGCATTTGTCTCATCTCAGGGAGCCTGGGAGCCGTGTCCATGCTCCTGTGTCCATGGGGGCTTTGTCTTTGGTAGAAGCTGCACCAAGTTTAGCGTTGTGGTTCAGGCAGGCCTGGCGTGTGGGGCTGACCGGTCCCAGGTCTGTAGACCGTGACTTTGAGCTGTGGCCTGTGCTTGCTCAGACAAAATGTTTGAAATGGAAACATCTTGTGTTTTGTTTGAACCCTTATCTTGGAGCTGCCTTTGATTTTCTCCGAGAAAGAGATGGTCTGTTAGCCTGCCTTCCAGCAGGAGGCCTGTCCTTACCGCCTGGGGGGAGAGAACATTTTCCGGTGACTCCTTTGGTGGAGGGAGGGGGTGGCCGGCCTTGGCCTTCAGAGTCCTGTATGTCTCAGCCTCACTTCGATTTCACAGTTGAAGATTCTTGCCATTTGCAGCTGGGGAGGGGCTTGGGTTCTGTGGCTCGTGGAGCCTGGGGCTGGTGGGGGCAGGGTCACGAGCGTGGTCACCTCTGTCCGTGGCAAGCCACACTATTGTCACACAGTGTCATCGCCCTGGCTTCGGGCGTTCACCCTGTCTCTCCTGTCTTCTCTCTGCTTTTAGACGCAAGAATCTCTAAACCCCAACAACTTAGAATATTGGATGGAAGATATTTATACTCCAGGGTACGATTCGCTATTAAAACGGAAGGAGGCTGAATTCCGGCGAGCCAAGGTCTGCAAGATAGCGGCTCTGATCGCCGCCGCCGCGTGCACCGTCGTCCTGGTCATCGTTGTCCCCATCTGCACGATGAAATCCTGAGCCCGTGGACGCCCCAGCTCCATCCGGCTCCTCACGGCGGCGAGGCCACGGTGTGCGGACATGGAGATGGCACCACATGTCCCAACAACGCTGAAGGTAGCCGTCTACACCTTCTCCGGAGAAATCTACCTGTTAGCTCTGACTTAATCACGCACCGATGCAGCAGTTTTTAGAAGTGCAATATCTCTTCCCACTGAAAGAATGTAACGGACTGTCGGTGACTCCGAATGGAAGAGCCCAAGCGGAAAAAGAAGGGGGAGGCTGACCTCACCCTTTCTCGTTTGGTGAGGTTTCTTGGTGGGGAATAAGTTACACAGGAGGTATTTAATAGCTGTGTCTTTCGAAGAAGCTTGGGGAGACAGCAAGGCGAGACAAACTCTCTTTTCCTTAATGTCCGTGTTCGTTGCTGGGGCAGGGGCAGGGCGTGGCTCCCGGCAGACCACTGCTTCTCCGCTGACTCTTACCAAGGGCTTTCTGCTGTCATCACGACGGACACATCTGAGTCCTTGCAGATCCTTCTGGAAACATCCTGAAGCTTCCTCCTCGTCCCGAGGCAGCAAGGAGCGGGACCGCCGAACTGGGTGCATCGCATGTGCTTCCCGTGCACATGGGGCCGAGGTGTTCAGGCCGGGAGACCCGCCCCTCCCCGGCCACCAGGGAGCTCCCTGCTGATGGTCACAAGGTCAACGCTGGGGGATCACGGCCACCCCCGGAGGCTCTCCCGTCCGTGCTTTGGGCTGTGGCTGCACGCCTGGATTTCCTGGCTCCTGCTGGTGCCAGAGGCTCCGTTCACACCTGAGATGAAGACTTGTCCTTGTGCCTTGAAGAGTACAGACAGCGGCCACACTGACATTCTAACTGTCCCCGTGGTTCCCGCGTGCCCCCAGCCAGCCTCTGTCCGTGGCCGAAGCTCGTTCCGTCGTAAGATAAAGGCACTGAGACCTTCTCAATATACTCCACCGTCCTGAAGACCTGTCAGCAGTGCAAAAAATATTATCTATTTAACCAGTTATCTATCTAGATGTCTATCTAAATGCCAGTGTCTCTTTCTTGTCTTTTCTGTTCAATGATTGAGAGCGAGGTTTCTCCAGTGTACATGAAGCTGTTGCAAATTCCCGGAAGTTTCATCTCAGTACCCCTTGCGGAATGGTGCTTTGATAGGACCGGACAGATGGACGCATCATCCAAGATAAAGAGGAGAATGATGGACAGAACCCAGTCGCCTAAAATTCTGCTGGCAGTGTGGAAAGCAAATAAACTTGGGCCCTGACAACGGTCCCTGCGGACGGTGTTTTAAATTCCTGTGCGTGGGACTTGGGAAGCACCTCCATTTTTAAAGCAATAGGACTCCAGCGTCCGTCCTACGAAAATTCCGAGTACTGCTTAGTTTGCCGTGTCTGATTCTATTGCTCGCCACTAAGGGGTCATCAGTAAATCCTGTGATGTTAACAAATGAGGGAGGCGTTGTCTCTAGAGCCCTTCTGTGTTATCCGTTTCTGTGGTCGTGTTTCTGTATGCGTTTGCCATCAGGTGATTGAAACTTAAGCCTTAGTATGGAAAACTGAGGATATATCGTTGAAAATGAAATCTTTTGTCTATTGTCAGAGTTTCCGCCTTTTGGTGCTCTGTTTTGGGCTGGGCGCTTTCGACAAGGCTGTTGCTCTCACTCCAAAGAGGATAAGCCCCCACACCACGTTCGGACCCCTCCGTGCCCCTCTTTGCCACAGGTTAAGCTACCAGAGCATCAGCCACGGTAGTTCTCAGCCTCTTGCTCTATTGTGTGCGGAAGAGCTGATGGGTACCAGCCCAGGATAAGAGAGACCGGGTCAAATCCCAAATCCCAACCGGACTCTTCCGCTCGACAGGTAGGATCACGGGGGCTGGACCAAAACACTTTCAGCACTGCCCTTGGGTGAGTCTGTTCCCAGTGGGCCCAGTTTGGGCCCTGTGCCTACCTAGCTACGTAGTGAGGGCGTGGCTCTAAGCCCTGCCCCAAGCCAGAGACGGAAGGCCCACAGAATCTTCTTCTGCAGTTTTTGAATCTGGGGAGGCAGCCAGAGACATTCCGTCCTGCTCCAAGTCCAGTGCAGCTTTAAAATACAACTCAGTGTCGTTGTCACATGATGGAAATGTCCATACCTGCTCACAGCCCAGGAAACCGGACCGTGAAGGCCAAAGGTAAGGTTGTATTCTCTGGAAAGGGGTCGCCCTCTCCCCAGTGGTGCCGGGTCCGACATGAAGGTTACAGACCTTCCCCATGGCTTGAAGCTAATGGATGATTGGAGTCTTGAGGTCATTCGAAGGTGAAGTTCATGGTTGATGCTGTCTCGCAGTCAATTCCAAGCTCTCTGGACCTCCCCTGGTTCCTCCTGTCCCTCCACTTGCAGAGTGGAGCAGGTCTGGCTGGGGTGGAGACATCTATGCCCACCTTCTACAGTGAGCTCCCTGCAGGCGGCACAGGGACCATCCTGTTTATCACTTGTTTTGGGTGCCATCTTCTACTGCTCTCTCTGGCATTTTTATGTAAGGTACAGTTTCCTGTACCTTAGCAAAATTCATCTTCTTCTACTTATATTTTTAAAAGACTTTATTTATTTGAAACTCAGAGTTATAGAGAGAGGGAGAGAGAGAGAGAGAAAGAGAGAGAGAGAGAGATCTTCCATCTGCTGGTTCACTTCCCCGATGACCTCAATGGCCTGCACTGGGCCAGGCCAAAGCCAGGAGCCAGGATCTCTCACAGGGTGGCAGGGGCCCAAACGCTTGGGTCATCTTCCACTGCCTTTTGCAGGCCTTTAGCAGGGAGCTGGATCGGAAGTGGAGCAGCCGAGAGATGAACTGGGATGCCAGCGTTGCAGGTGGCGGCTTTCTCAGCCATAACGCCAGCCCCTCACTTACATTTTTAAAGCATACAATCCAATTCAGTTATGACCGAAGGCATTATTTTGAAATCAAATTCCTTAGCCGGTGATTCAATTTAGAATCATTTCATCCTCTTTCCCAATCTGAATTTGGTCTGAACACAGCCTGGCAGAAAAGCGAATTTCACAGCACTCAGTTCTCAGACATTTTACACCAGCCCTCCCTTCTTTAAATTGCAGAGACAGTTCAGCAAATCATATTTACATCACTCAAGACCACCTGATCGTAAGCCGTTAGCACTTTATAGCTTGCAGCTACGCGATTGGTATCTGACGGGCTGGTTCAGTCACGGCTCTGAGTATCTTGGCCCTAGGTCTGATCCCCTCTTTTGGAATCAAGACACTGTTTTTGCTCCCCGTTTATCAAGACAAGAGCAGTAGCACCTCTTTTGGTTGGTTGGCTGGAAAGGAAACAGCTCCGCCACTGGTGAAAGACTCCATGCAGTGGTACAGACATTTGTGAAGGCGGAGCTTCAATGCGCTTCCTCTTATAATCAACCCGCAAGAATATCGTGGTCGATCGTGTGAATACCAAATCCATATATCCTGTCTGTTGTGCTATGGACATTTGCATTTCAAGGCACAGCTGAGAGTCATGGTTGGTATGACGGTTGGCGGTTGGCGGTTGGCGGGAAGGGTATTAGCTATTTCTTAACTAACAAAGAGAAATGCAACAAACTTACTTATTTATGCCTTATGAATAACAGAGTGTGAAATGCAAGGTGAGGTTGTGTGTGTAAGACCCTTAAGCAGTGGGGATCCACGGAAGCAGGACTGTGTCTTTTCTACGTGTGTTCTGTACAGCTCTTAGCACACTCTTGGTGCTTGATAAATGTTATATAATACCAATAACGAAGCACATTTTTAGATCTTTTTTCAAATGGCTTGTGTACAATTTGGTTAATGTACAATGGTTGGTTTGAAGCTATCATGTAAAATTTGCCTCTCCAAAATATAATCGTAAATAAACGGAAAATACAGAGAAATCTCCTGCTGTGCGACTTCATTCTCTCCATAAATTATGGCGTGTTCCGTCTTCTGTGTGCAGCCCAAGTGTCGGGCTTGGTGGTGTTTTGCAAACTGAGCAATTTGATGCCCTCAGCACCTAGGGCAAAACCACAGAGCATTCGAGCAGCCCGAAAAGATTCTTATGCCCCTTTCTGGTTAAAACCCTGCAGAGGAAAATCCTATCCAGACTCCTAAGGGTGAGTTACTTTGGCCTCTCTTTGAGATTTACGCTATGCACAGCAGACTCTCTGGTGGCTAAGACAACCGGGGGATAGCCATGTGGTTACAGGTGGCTGTAGTTTTATCCTTCCTACGTTACTAACTCACTGTAAGTGCACCCTACTTCGTGCGCCCATCCCACCATTCAGGGGACCGGCTAAGTCCTTCCAGCTGGGGATGCTGAATGTTCCAGTAGATATCTTTCAGTAACCCTTTGTGGAATCTTCCAGAAGTCTGTGGAAAAGGCATGTGATGAAGAAATGACACATGGATTTATTTTGCACCAAAATAACCGTACCTTTTAATTCAGTTCTCCCATGAACTTTTTGAAGTACACCCTTGTACGTGTTCGTGTCTGTAACACATACACCTAAGAATAAAACTCCTGGGTTGTGAGATGTGCATAAGCTTTGCCCAAAACTTTAGTCCTTAACATAGTTCCATCAATGCACACTCTCATCAGTCATTTATTTCGTAGGTCCGGTTTCCCCGCTGTGATTTCAACAAGTGGTATTGTCTGTCTTTCATTTAGCCATTTTGCTGTTGTGTGTAGATGTATCTCATTGTGTGTGTGTGTGTGTTTTTAAAAAGATTATTTATTTGAAAGTCAGAGTTACAGAGAGAGAGGACAGACAGAGAGAGATAGAGAGAGAGGTCTTCCATCCTCTGGTTCACTCCCCAGATGGCCACAACAGCTGGAGCTGCACTGATCCAAAGCCAGGAGCCAGGAGTTTCTTCGGGGTCTTCCCACAGTGGTGCAGGGGCCCAAGGACTTGGGCCATCTTCTACTGCTTTTCTAGACCATAGCAGAGAGCTGGATCAGAAGCAGCTGGGACTAGAACTGGCACCCATGCTGGCAATGCAGGCAGCGGCTTTACCCTCTACGCCACAGTGCCAGCCCCCATTTTTGAATTAATATGGAAATTTATGATTTTTTCCCCATTATATGGGACCAGTTGGGTTATTTTAAATAAATCTTTAGAGACTCCAGGGTCACTAAGAGGCTCTGTGATTTCGTCCAGTTAGGTCTGTGCTTCTGGAATTCTTGATTGTATGTGATGTGAGGTAGGGGTTAAGATGGGTCCCCCCCCCCACCACCTTGGTTATCTATCTACAAGCACCCTTTTCTGGGCCTTGTACTATGCTCCATTGATATGCTCATCTTCTCTGATGTCAACATCCACCCCTAAGGCGATTCCTTGACCATGAAGTGCACAGGCAGGAGCTGACTTGGGCTTTAGCACATTTCTCACGTGTGAACTCGTGTCGTGGAGGATGACGAAGAGAGGAGGTGTCTGCCTCTGTTTCATCCCTCCTGCCATTCACAAATGTCACTGGCTTTCCTGCCAGAGCCATTAAAGAAAAGTGATTACTTTAAGCATGAGTCACCGCACATTGCAAAAAGCAATTAAAATCCTGACATCCACAGCCAGAAGGAAATCTTTGACAAGATCATGGAATGCTAGGGTTACCATCCTCGTACAATGGTATCAGAATGCTTTTCAGTTTTACAATAAAATGTTAATTCAGACCCACAGATTCAAAATTTGTGTTTGGCTGGACTGCTTCTAGCTTGCATTTTGCCTGTATACTCTGAAATACTGAATTAAGAAAACAATGTCTAAGTCATCTTGTAGGGAAAAATATTTATCCTCGCGACAAGGACAAGTCAGTAGGCAATATGCTATTGTAAGGCATTTTAATCTGTCATTAATTCAGCTTTCCCCTCCGAGTACCAGTGAATGTCAATGCTTGGTCAACTCCCTTCACGTTATTGAATATATTTTTTTATACACATGTTCGCCATTTCCCGGTGCTCTAGAATTCAGGTTGGAAACAGCTCCTACTGGCTCTCCCGAGCGAGTCTGAATGGGGGAGGATCTGCTGCACCTGCATCTAGTTTCTGTCTTCATTAGTCTTGATGATGGAAGGAGGAGGACGGGGTGCCGGCGACTTCCCATGGAAGCGACGCTGCGGTACCTGACAAAGATGCCGAAATGTGAAAACGAGAGGAGACCGTCTGGGTTTCTGGTCAGAACCAGAGAGTGAGTGCATTTTCAGCCCTTGGAGCACTGTGCCTTGCACACAAAGCCTCTGTGCTCTCTTAAAACTGACTTCCAGATGCTGCAGTTTATGAGAATTCCTGACAGATTCATTAGATTCTGCACATAAAGTTATTGTTAGGATTCAGCCGTGCGAGAGTAGTTAATTGCAAATACAGTTTCCTTTCATTTGTCAAGGAAAGCACTTCATAAATTATGCCTAATAAGTTACTGAGTCGTCACCCCACTAATAGAAGAAATGTCCCTGGTACTTTCATGCTGGTTACTTCCAGCCATGTTCCACATTTTAATGATTCTTGCATAATTCCAGAAGTCCCAGTGAGGGAGCCTCTCTCTGCTCATTTTCCCTGGACCAATGCGATTGGGTCTGCATGTCTCCGCCAGTCTAAATTAGCATTGTGTTGCTTTCCAGTGAAAGGTCACTTTTACCATCAGCAACGACGATGGATCTATGTACTTCTTTCTGATTCTGTTTATTTTCTACCCCTGATTTATTCATTTATTTGTTTAGTCAACTGAGCAACTAGAACAGGCAAAGCAGAGGTTGGATGCTGGAGTATCACTGCCTGCCGTGTCCCTAGAACCGGCGATGCCTTGTCCATACCGCAGGCTTCATAAATGCTTGTTGAGTGAATGAATGAGGGGACACACGAATGAATGAAAATCATCTCAGATCCACTGCCCTGGAAATTCCATTCTAATGGGTGTGCAGATGACAATCAAGTCAGCAAATAATTTCAATCAGCAATGGGTGGGGTGCAATGAAGCGAAAGAAAGAAGTGGAAGAACGAGGAATCTGGAGGGGAGTAGAAGCACAGCTTGAGTCAGGATAGTCAGGAAACACTTCCGGGAGATGGTGGGCGGACCACGGAGGAAGCGCATTTTAACAGAAGGTGCCTGTGTGCAAAGGTCCTGAGGTGGGGATGAAGACAAGGAAGAAGGCTGCTGTGGCTTGAATTTAGTGAAGCAGCCCAGGAACATATGAGGAGACAGCAGTGACGTAGGCAGGATGAGATTATCTAAGACCTTGCCGGCTGCATGAAGGAGGTGAGGTTTTATTTTAAATAGAACTGGAAGACTTCAGAAGGTTGCAAGCCGGGACATGACGTAATCCGCATTTATATTTTTAACAGATCCCTCTGGCTGCAGCATGGGGAGCTGAGTAAGGGGAACTGAGGGTGGAGACAGGGCGAGCAGTCAGCAGGTGGTGGCAGGAACCGAGGACTCAGATGAGACAGTGGCACGGAACTTGTGGTTGCAGGTGCAACCTGGACCCATTGATGAGACAGGGAGGTTCTCAGACAAATTGATTAAGAAAGCCTTCCCACACAGTTATTCTTAAGTGTTGAAAATTAACTGAAATGTGATCCCTGTTAAACATAAGAGTGGGAATAAGAGAGGGAAGAGATGTATAATTTGGGGCATGCTCGGGCTGACTTGCCCCAATTGGTAGAGTTGGAAACATACCAGGGGATTCCAATTCAATCCCATCAAGGTGGCATGTGCCAATGCCATCTCACTACTCCAAGTGATCAATTTCAGTTCACAATTGATCATAATGAAAGGACTAAGAGTCAAAGGGAGCACATAAACAAGTCTAGTATCTGCTAACACCAACCGATAGAATAAATAAAGGGGAGAGTGATCCAACATGGGAAGTGAGATACTCAGCAGACTCATAGAATGGCGGAGGTCCTAAATAGCACTCTGGCCTCAGAATCAGCCCTAAAGGCACTCGGATCTGGCTGAAAAGCCCATGAGAGTATTTCAGGCATGGAAAGCCAAGGCACTCTGGCAAAAAGATCTCTGCGAGTGAGATCCCAGTGGAAAGAACAGGTCATCAAAGAAGGAGGTACCTTTCTCTGAAGGGAGGAGAGAACCTCCACTTTGACTATGACCGTGTCTAAACAAGATAAGAGTCGGAGAACTCAAGGGGCTTCCATAGCCTTGGAAACTCATAACTGGTGCATAGGGAGATTACTGATGCCATAAACAGGAGTGTCAATTGGTAAAGTCAACAACAGGAGTCACTGTGCACTTACTCCTCATGTAGGATCTCTGTCCTTAACGTGCTGTACACTGAGGCTTAATGCTATAACGAGTACTCAAACAGTATATTTCACTTTGTGTTTCTATGGGGGTGCAAACGACTGAAATCTTTACTTAATGTACACTAAACTGATCTTCTGTAAAAAAAAAAAAAAAAGAAATTATCAATTCCCAACTTGACTGTCACTGGATTAAACATGACAATAGGTCTGATCTGATTTCATCATCATTTAAAAAAAATCATCTATTATTTTTCACTTTATGTTTCTGTGTGGGAGCAAACTGTTGAAATACTTACTTAAGGTATACTAAGCTGATCTTCTGTATATTAAGATAATCGAAAATGAATCTTGATGTGAATGGAAGGGGAGAGGGAGTGGGAAAGGGGAGGGTTGTGGGTGGGAGGGACGGTATGGGGGGGGAAGCCGTTGTAACACATGAGTCGTACTTTGGAAATTTATATTCATTAAATAAAAGATTAAAAAATAAAAAAAAATAAAAAAAATAAAAAAAAAAAAAGAAAGCCTTCCCAATGCTTGGCTTGAGGAACAGGTGAGTGATGGTGTTACTTGATTTCTTGGTGAACAGTTTGGAAGGGACGGCTCCGGGGACGGGCAGTGGTACCCAAGGTTTTGTTTTGGACAGGC